TTAATAGTAACTGTTTTGTTATAGATAACCGCATATGCCGTGCGATTATATTTAAGGGTGCGTTTGGCTCCCTGTTTTTATCCATATTCCCAATCCTATTCTCCAAATAATGTTTAGCACACTATTCCAGAAATATTACCCTATTTTTTTAATTACTTTTAGACCCCATAAGGTTATTAATTTCACTAAATGCCCCCTGAAATTTGTTTTTTAAAAATTAACAAAAACCCCCCCCATCAACCCAATTTGTCAGATTCCGGCAACCACCGCCGGTGATAGCCGGAATCTGTACAACAGCCTAAATTTCGACCATAAATGGCCGGAATTACACCGATCTAGCCTTTTCCGGCAAGATCCACCACGGATCTGACCGGAAAAGGCCAGATCTGGCCGTTAGTGACGGCCAAAGAAATGGCCGTCGTTGACGGTCAACGACGTCCAAATCTTGGCCGTCGTTGACCGAAAACGACGGCCACATATTTGGCCGTCGCTGACGGCCAAAGATGGCCGTCGTTTTGGCCTTTCCGACCGTCGACGGCCATAACAGGCCCTTAGATCTGGCCTTTTCTGGCCAGATCCGTGGTGGATCTGGCCGGAAAAGGCCATAATGATGCGTTACGGCACAGATCCGATCGGTCTGTGCCGTAACGAAAATTTCCCTCTTGTTTAACAGGTAATTCCCTGAAGAGCTATAGAGCAGTAGATTACTTTAACAGTATTGCCTTTAAATTACACGTTATTGTCCCTCTTGTTTATTTGTAAAATGAGAGTAAATGATATTCTTGAAATTAAGAATTACATGCCTCTAGGGCATAAGGCCTTAGTAAATAGACTGGAAAAAATCAGAGCAGCAAATTGCTTTAGCATTTTCTTTTCAACTGTTGGGGTATGAATTTTACCTCTTTTATGCTCTAGTGGTGGTGTTGTGATCGAGACTTTCTCAAATTAAATCTAATTCTAAACACAGATAAGAGCATTTTCCTTTTAACTTTCGGGTTTACATTCTACCTCTTTTATGCTCTAATGGTGGTGTTATAATCGAGACTTCTGAAATTAAATCTAATTTTAAAAACAGATGAGAAAATGGCAAGGTGGGTTAAACAGTGAATGGGGAAATTCAACCGTGTGAGGGGGTTTGGATAGACCTGGCAAAACGGGTGAGTTAGATGAGTACGGGCCGGGTTAAACGGGTGCGGACAAAAAAGACTAATTTTATACGAGTCTAAAATATTGGACTATATCCTACCTTATATGGGTACGGGCCAACCCGTGGGTACCCCTTTTTGCTAGTGAGCTTCAGCCGTCTGCTTCTTCAAGCACTACCCACGCCAAATCCAAATCACAACACTCTCTTTTTCTCTAATTCCACCTTTACTGTATTATTTCCAACTTGTTAATTGGTCTTATCTTAACATTAGTTTTTCTTCAACAATACCAAATAAAATAAGATTTTATTTTAACAAATTTACACAGTGTATGATGGTGAGAGTGGTTTGGGCAATTTATCAAGCAGGTGTGGGCAAGGTGAAAATGGCGAATTCCACAACAAACAAAGTCAATCACAAAATCCATTCAACACTTCCAAATCAAAACTCCTAACCAAACAACTTCTCCAATCAAATTTCACACCAGATGGGCAGCAATCTCCCAACCAACACAACAAACAATAATCCACAAGAGATTTATCCAAGAAAAACACACATGTTGCAGATAGTGGAAGCTGCCGGTGGAGTCGCGCGGTGGTTGTGCGCTGGGCGTCGCCCGTTGGGTGAGATGAGAGAGCAGCGGCGGCGGGTATGTGATGGGTATGGGATGTGAGAAAGTGAGAATGAGGAGGTGATAGTGTTTGAAAGTGAGATGGGTATGGGCGGTGTCGGCGGGTCACAGCAGCAAAATCCTACCGTAACAGTGTTTGAGAATGAGGAGAAGAGTAAGTGATAGTGTTTGGTCTTTGCGCTTCGACTTCGAGGTTGAGTACTTTGTGATTGTGTTTGAAAGAAAATCCTGGACTAAAAAGTTTTTCTTTTTTTTTTTTTTTTGTCCTCTTCAAAACACGGGTACCCATGGGCATACCCGGCCCAACCGTTTTAAAGAACGGGTTGGGTCGGGTACGGGGTCACATGAAATGGGTTTTATAATGTCTACTTGTATCCGTTTTTAAAACGAATACCCACCCATAGGTATAGACTCGTTTTGCCAGCTCCAAGTTTGGAGTAGGGTCTAATACCATACACAAAAACTAGTTCAAGAAAGGAAGGAGTCCAATCACGTATATCTACACCATAACAACCTATTAATTTAATGATGTGAGACAAATACACTTTTTAATAAGAAGGATAAAAAACAAAATAGGATATTGGAATTAAAAAAAAAAAAAAAAAAAAGAATGAAATTTAATCAAAATATGGCTTTTCCCATTTTTGCCAATTGGGCTGGTCAAGATAATGGGCTTTACCTTGTTTCAATGTTTATTGTTTGGTAGCCTATGAAGATGGCTTGATTTGGTGAATGATAAGTTACTTGTTGCATCTAAACAAACCCTATTTTAGACATCTATCTCCTTAGGCTTGCTCAAACATTTATATATGGATCTGAAATATCATCAAAATACTTGAAACATAAAATATCCTCTCTATGACTTTGATAAATCTTTTAATCTTATATGGTGCAATGTAACCATTATATTAATCCTATTATGTCTATTATCCATCTTCCAAAAAGCCCAAAATCATTGTTTATCCTCAAACTTGAATATCTCAGGACCCGCTGTTTTTTTTTTTTTTTTAAATTTCAAAAATATTATGTCATTAATACTATAAATTAATATATTTACACCATATCTAACTTTATAATTAATATAATTAATAGTTGTTGGATTGAATATTTATGGTTCTTGGCTCATTTATTTTCTTTTCATCTTCTCTTCTTCTTTCACTAAAACGTGATTCATGCACCTCCTCAACTTTTCTACAAGGCTAGTTCCAAAGGATGCATTATTATTTGTACGCTTTCTAAATTTTCTGCAATTTGTGGGACCTTCTGATTTAAATTTTCTGCAATTTGTGGGGACCTGCTAAATTTTCTGCAATTTGGGGGACCTGACAAATTTTCTGCAATTTGTGGGGACCTTCTGAGTAGAAACAGAGAAAAGAAATTAAGCAGAAGATATAGAGAGAGATTATACAAAATGCAGAATCGGTCAAGAAAAAAGAGTGAAGAAATAATTGAAACAGTCAAAATGAGGGGAATCTTCCACCCTTTATTTTATTTTAATTTTGATAGTTCCTTCTTTACTTTTGCTGCCATTTGTAGGACCTACTTTTGACGATAATACAAACGGGTAATAGATGAGAGAGAGATAAGCCCTGATGAACCGCATCTCAGGGTCAGATACTGACAAGCTCGTTGACGGAGAGTTCTCACAACTTTGGAATAACAGGTGGTGCAAGAAGAGCAAATTTTGGATTATATATTTAATAATGTATAAAATAATGCAACGGCAATATATTGTGTCTGCTACAAAGAGAATTAGATCTGGAGATTCCAACATTAGTTATAAATAATTAGGTGTGGAGCTTTCTTTCTAATTAATTAATTTCATTATTACAGCTAGTTATTACTTCTTTTTTTTTTTTTTTTTATCTTTTAATCTTTACTTTTGCTTTAAAATTCTACAATTTTGAGGTACGTTTTGATTGGGAAACAGAAAAGCTGTGAATATTTTTTCATTCAGGAATTAAAAATCAAGAAAGAGAATATGAGGATTGGAGTTTAGTATCATTTCTGACTGTAAAACTGGTTACAGAATATGCTTTGATCCAAATTCGGGGAATACACTTTCTGCGATTTCCCAGAACAATGAGAAGTATTTGACAGGTGAGGCTGACGTAAACCAATGCTCTTAGCTCCCATTCCTTCCAGACTTTTCTTAATTCTGGAGGAAACACCTCAATCATCTTCCTCGTCTGCGTTATCATAAAGCCGCTAAAAACTGAAGATGAACACACATATTGAGTATACATAACAGGGAAAAAAGAAAAAAAGAGATTAGAAATTAAGTGAAGTACAGACCTGTGGCTATCATCGCAGGTATTGCAGCTGTTATTGCAAGAGTAAATTATCTTCCAAAGAGCAGACTCAATAGTGTCTCTACGAGCTTGCAAGAGATAAGAGGAAGAGAGAGAAAAGAAAAGGTCAATATACAGTGCGAATGTGCTTTTGTATGCCAAATAATAATCGTTTGATCTCTTTCTTTCTTTATTTTAAAATCGTAATATCTATCTTTCTATTACAATGTCCTGAAAGGATGGGGCCGATCAAGGGCTCGGTTCTGGGTTGACTGATGACAGCAGCAATTCCAGAAGAGTTGAAATCCGGGAAACACATCTCTGTAAAATTACACAGTAATCCTTAAAAGTTTGAAATTCAACAAAAACACCTTTGCCAAATTACACATGCCTCTCTACAGGTTTGAAATCCAGCAAAAACACCTTATGATCTGGGCAATCGTGAGAAAAGACTATCGACGATGACGATCGACAAACAATTAGAGTTCGAGATGATAAGGCTTTTGATGTGGAGATGAAGGCAATCTTATGGTGGTGTCAGGGAGGATGAATGGCGTCGAAATTGACCAAAATCAAGGTGGAAGCTACCTGTTGGATCGGCAGTTCGTTACTATTCTACCGGTCCAAATTTAGCCCAATCTAGGCCAATTATGAATCCGGGTTTGAGGGTAAACCAGACCAAAGTTAGTGTCGATTCTTGGTCGAACCGGCTTGTCCGGTTCGGTTTTCTAATCATTGCTTTCTAACCGTTATATTTTAAAATTGATAAAATTATTAACCACCCCAAAATTTCGAGGTGGATGTTGAGTTTGAACTTTTAGTAATTTCTTTCCAATTTCTCCCTAAAAGTTAAGGACATTACTCAGAAACCATGTATTGTCCTTACCTTATGTGAAAAATCCAATTTTTTTCACACTTATTTGAAAACTTTGCTTGGAAAAAGGAAAAAGAAAGGTCCTATACCATCCTTGCTTAGAATTACTTAATAATATTCTTACAAAATTTGTATAAAAACGATACAAACTATTGCATTACATTTAAGTTGTTAGTGCAGATAGTTGCCGACTCAATTGTCTACTTGGTGCTCTATGTTTTAGAGTGCTTGACCTCACAATTGGTGCACCATCTCTCTGTTTACTCTTCTGCCGGAGTTCTTGCCGCTGTTCTTCACTCGATTCCTTAAAAATATGAAACAAATGTCAAGCAATTTTCTAGTCTATCTTTAAAGTGATGTGGAAGAAAACAAAACTTAAAGAAAAGGAATTAAACATAAAACCTTGAAACTATGGTACATAGAAAAGGCAATTAAACAATAAACTCACCCATGAAGGAATAAATTTCCAATCGTTTTCGATGACCATTGTCTTATTGCCAATGCTTCCTTTAACTTCAGTTACAAACTTCTCCTGCATATTCGTTAACGTCAATTTCTCCAAGGTAGTCAAGCCCTCCAATCCTGTAGGCTTCCGCAGGTTTTGGCAATATCTGATCTCTAATTCTTTTAGCACAGGCATTGCTCCTTCAATTTCCCACTCTTTCAGATTCAGTAGCATCCATAACTTTAAAACCTCGAGTTTAGAAAATCTACCTTCAGGGCCACAACTCATTTTTTTCCCCAAGTAAGAATTAGCGTAAAGCCTGAGGATTATGAGGTTTTCCAACTGTCCTAGCGCTGGCATGGGATCTTCTGATAGCTTTGACACTGACAATGTAAGGACTCTGAGTTTGGAGAGGTGTACTACTTCGGAAATCTTAAATCCTTTTGGTAGCTCTCCCATCAAATACAAGTCTGTTAGCATCTTGTTGGATATCCATTTGAGTTTGGAAGGTTCACCATTGTCATCTACCGATCTCAACCGCAGAGAGTGAAGACCGGTTAGTCTAGAAAGCCAGATAGTTATTTCCTCAATTGATTCGTTGTGGCATGTTAGGCCCACTTTTTCAAGACTTGCCAACTTCTTCAACCATTCTAAATTAGGGCTGTTCTTGCCTAAAAGTAGGCCCGACAAAGTCCGAAGGTTACTCAAAGAACTACTGGAGATTTGTTTGGACCTCTCAAAATCAATCCCGTTCATATAGAGATGCAGAAGCTTCTTAGCATTGCAGATGGAATTAGGCAATTCAGATATATTAGTGTGTTTTACATCTAAAGTGTCTAGACAAGGAATATCACCTACTGACTTTGGAATTTCGTCCAGAAATGTCCATCTCAGACCTACGTACTTCAGAAGTGGCAGCCTTCTTAGTGTTTCAGGTGGCAGCACTGGCTTGTATACACGTTCCAGATCAAGCAGTGTGAGCAACCCAAAGCCTCTCTTAGTGATTGTCTTTTTCAGCAAATTGCCTACTCCATCTGCAGCTTTATCTCCCTTTCCCTTGTTGAAAGATATATATGAACGTAATTGTCGAATGTCTTCATCTGAAGGAGGTTTGTTCTGAATGTCTACTTGTTCTGCAAGCCTACGGATGCTAACCTTTGCTGCTGTTTTCGATTCTGGAACTGAGTTGGGATGGACGTGAAAAAATCCCATGCACTTGGCATTTGGACACAGCAAATCATAGAGAAGACCTTCCACACTGCATGTTTTAGGCCTTCCATCTGACTTTGCTATCTTGATCATGTTTCTTTGCTCTAGTTGTTGAAGATACTCCTCCACTAGATCTTCAGGTTCTTTATTGTCATTTGTCGAGACTTTAACCAAGCCTTCTGCAATCCACAATCTAGCCAACCTTCTTATGCGGATTGAATCTGATCGTGGGAAAAGACATAAATATTGGAGACATGCCCTTAAAGGGGAGTTTAAATCACAATAGCCCAAATAAAAGATATCGGAAGCGCTCAAGTTATCAGAGGAAACTGATTCATTTGAAGAAATGTATTGATCTTCTCCTTGTTTGCTGTAAGAGGCTGCATTTACAGTCCCTCCTTTTTCTTCCTTACCTACCCCTTCTTCTTCAATTTCTCCTTGTTGAACATGTTCCATTTCTAATTCTTCAATCTTTTCTAGATGAGTATGCTTATCAACCCCTGTTTCATCCTCAACCACTTTTTCTTCAATCTCTCCTCGCTGAGAATGCTCACTGACCCTTTTTCCTTCTTCAACCACCTTTGCTTCTACAATCTCGTCTGGTTGAGAATGCTTACCAGTACTTCGTTCTTTCTTTTCTCGCTTTGTATGCTCAGTAACCCTTTCTTCCTTTTTACCTTGCATTGCATTCTCACTAGTCCCTCCTTCTTTTTTCTTTTGTTGGGTAGACTCAATAACTTTTAACCATGCATCTTTGCTACGATCCTTAGTGGACAATAAACCAGCCAGCATGCATATTGCAAGCGGTAGACCCTTACATTTTTGCAAGATCTTTTCCTTGAGCTCCACCAAATCTGAATTATCAGATATTTTTGGTTTCAGTTTCTCCGAAAACAGCTCCCAACTCTCTTCATTATTTAGCGGACGTAGATTGTGAAGATAATATATCGATGAATCAATATTTTGAGCTATCTTAGGATCACGGATAGTTAGGACCACCCTGCTACCACTTACGTAGCTAATTGGGAAGACCCTTTTGAGTTTGTCCCAAGTATCAGGTGTTTGGACATCATCCAAGACTACCAGGTACCTCTTTCCAACAAAGAAATAACGAAGCTTCTTCCGCAGTTCCTCAAGGGACAATTTCTCCTCGTCCTTAACCTCTGTAACCTGCTTCAATATCTGAAGTAGGAGATTTCTCTCTTCAAAAACTTTAGAAACAGAAATCCAAACACGGTTCTCGAATTTCTGCTTTATATGTAACTGGTTGTAAACTGTATTTACCAGAGTTGTCTTACCAGAGCCTGCCACACCCACCACTAGGATCATAAAATGCAACTGGTACCGCCTACAAATTAATTTATGCAACTTCTTTATTTCATCTTTCAGGCCAACAATATCAGTTTCCTCATCCAACGAAGCGCAGACATCTTTACTTAATGCTGACGGTGACACCAACTCTGTTCCAAAGATTGTACCCAAGAACCTTGTATTAGGAATACTCGGTGCTGCAGCGGCTCCATGAAAACTGACAATCGTCCGACCACCACCTGAATTCGGTAGAACATAACTCAGAGACTCCCAGACCTCAGGTGTTCGGAGATCGTAGAAAACTAATAGGTACTTCTTATTGCTTAAGAAACGGCAGAGCTTTCTTTGCAGCACTCTTGGAGGCAAATCATTTTCCTGCTTCATTCCCGTAAGTTGTTCCATGACACATTTTATAGCTTCGTACACATCAGAAACATAAGTCCAGGCACAGCATTCAAAATGCTCCTTGATATTGCAGTAAGTCCTCCATAGCAGAGTCGTATTATGAGAACCTCCAGGACGACCTGCCACTGACAAGAGCAAAAATGGCAAGTCGTCACGAAAGATTAATTCGGCTAACTTCTTTGCTGTATCTTCCAAATCAGAAGTATCATCTTCATCTGAAGAACTTGATTCCGAAGCATCCGCACCAACGTCAGCCCCGACGTTGCCATCAACACAGTGCTTTTCTTCCGATGGTTGAACTTGGATATCTTCCACTGAGTTAGTTGACAGAAGCCTTAACTTTACATGATCGTGTTCGGTCTGCGCTGTATCAACCAAACCATAAGTATCATCTTCATATGAAAATTTGGATCCCGAAGTACCCTCTCCGAAGTTTGATTTCGAAGAACCTTCACCGAAGTTCGATTTCGAAGTACCTTCACCGAAGTTCTTGTTCTCCAATTGCAGGACTGGCATATCCTCCACATTGGTTGGTGATTTTTGTGGATGAACTTCCACATCATCATCAGCTTTCATATCTTCCAATGATAAGTTACTAGAGGGAGCCGCTGGCTCGACATGAACGGATTTATTTTCTATGAAACTTTTTAAATGGCCAACAAAATTTCTCATCTTAAGGCTTACCCGAGATTGGCTATGCTCTGATCTCAAAGGGAATAAAGGGAAAGACTTTTGTTTCTGCAATGTCGTACTTGCGAGGAAGGCATCTATGGTGTCCTCTGCATCATAAACAGCTCTCAGAAGCTCAATCTTCCTGTCATAAATTGTCAGATGACTTCCTTGGTCGTCCTCTAAAGCTTTCAAGGTTGTCAGAGACTGGTGGAGCATCACGATGGACTCATTGACTTGTCTTAGCAAGATTGGATCTCCGATCTTTGTGCTAGCTAGAAGGTTTTGTAGCTTCTCTTTCACAAGCAAAATGGTTATCTCGGCTGCCATGGATTTTGAATCTCCTTGGTTTCCTTGGTCTCCTTAGTGCTTTTTACTTTTCTTCTTCCAAATTTGGTTTACAGATTTAAGATTGAGAAATTGTGGGCAAAGGGGTGAAAAGGTGAAAACAAAAGAATTGAATACAATTAGGAAGAATGAATGGTGTTGTATTAAAAAAGTAGTTATAATAATTTATAGAGTAAAGGACATATTCCACCCAAGGTTTGACGAAATCCCAGGTAAGTACCACAGGTTCCATTTATTCCAGATTCCCACCCTTAAAGTAACAGTGTTATGAACTTTTAGGGTTTAGAGCATGCAATTACCATAATGCCCCTAACCCTAAATTAATAAATTATGTTTTAACCCCTAATTTATTAGAATTATAAAACTTACCATTTTATTTTCAAATTATATCAAAAACACAATCGGTCACTACACACCCTCATCGGAAACAACCCGATCTGGGCTGTTTCTGACGACGTCTAACACCCTGGTCACTCCATCACCTTCCCCGTAGTCCGGTGTCCAAAAACCCTCTGGTTCCCGACTCATTTGCCCCTCCAATCACCGACACCGTTAGGCTTAGTGTTTCGGTGTTCTTCACCGGATTCCGGTCGATTCTGGCAGTGAAAATCCAATTGGACACCACCAATGAAACCATCGTATCTAGATCTATAAAATCCCTATGTCCCCAGCAGCTGTTTCGTCGTCATTCGCCGGCCAAGAGTTCGTGTTCTTCGACCGTTTTTCGATGAAGTGGTGGACAACAAACGATGAGCTGTCGTGGCTGGAAAGGTTAGGGGTTTTGTAGGGGAGGATTCGAGGAGTCAAATGGTGGTACAAGGGTGATTTTGGGTGGAAAAATCGCCGGAAAAAAAGCGAAAAACGTTTACCGGCGGTGGTCTGCTAATGTACGCCGAAGGACTGTTACAGGCGGTGGTCTGCTAACGTGCGCCGCCCATGTAAAATGACCAATTTACCCCTTTACTGTTACATCAAATTTTTTTCCGTCACTTTAAGGGTGGGAATCTGGAATAAATGGAACCTGTGGTACTCACTTGGGATTTCAGCAAACCTTGGGTGGCAATATGTTGTTTACTCTAATTTATATAAAAAAGGGTTTTTACAAAAAATTAATTACCCTCCCTACAATTTTGAAAAGTGGTTGTTTTCAACAATTATAATATTTTTAATTAACAATTATAATAGTTTCATAAAATACTTGTTCTCATTTAAAAGTTTGCGACTATATTTAATTGATTATCATAAAATACTTGCTCTCAATTGAAACGGATGCGATGCTTGAAACTATCATAACTAATAATCATGTAGATCACCATTTACCCCCTATAATATTCATTGATTTTAAGTCCCCATTAAAATGACTACGTAAACCCCCTGAAACGTTGGACTTGTGGAAAACCCCTATACTTTTAAATACTTAAAACCCTTTCGATAATCTAAATCCTTACAGTTAACCCCCTGGCGGCCCACTAAACAAAGAAAGCCCAGCAACACAATTAACCCACTAATTTAATTGACACAATTTGGGACTCATTAGCAATAGATCGGCCCATTTAACCAATTTAACTCATCAAGCCCATTAATTCAATTAAACTCATTAACACCATTTAACCAATTACTCATTTAATAATTTAATTAACTCAAACAAAAAAATTGGGACTCATTATCTATGGGTCAACCACTTAGACAATTAAATCTACCAACTTAATTTAGCCTTAACAGCCCATCTTTGCTTATAAACCATCCATACTTCAATTTCATCTCACCAACAACATTAACAACATATAGGCTTTAAACCTATACTCACTCCATTCAATCCCTTAAATAAAACCCAATAAAACTTCAAGCCCAAATACTATATTCATCAATCATTCAATACCCTTCAATTAAACTTCCAGCACTTAACCTCAAAATAAAATAAACCAATTTTTCTAAATGCTAAGTTAAGTCACATTGACATCCCTTCGACCTTTTGTACAAACTTTCCCAGCATTCAATTCCCACTCACAATCACAATTAGTTAAGTCAGCAGCTTATGAATGTGCCCAATTAATACACTAATGACTCCAAAATATCCAGCCAACAATAAAACATCAAAACGGCAAACATATACAAGTAAGCTTCCAGTTCACATTTTCATACCATAATTTCTCCAAAAATCCCAGCCAACCTCTAACATTTTTCAGCCAAGTAAATACTCACTCTTTACTAGGAGTGTTTAAAAGAACCGATTGAAATCGAAACCAGCAGATACCTGAGGTTTGGCTCCAATTCCTACCTGGAATCGACCGTTAAAGGGTAAGATCTGGTTCCAAAAATCTGGAATTGACATTGTGCGGTTTTGATTCCAGTTCCTGCAGTCAGGAACCAAAACCAGAACTAGAAACCAAGACTGATATAAAATAACATTAAAGAGTGGGGGAGAGGGAGGTTATTGTAATTTTGCTACATATATAAAAACTTCAATAAGATTTTAGGGAAAACAAATTTTCCATCGTTTATTGATAGCATAATATCACATAAACATTATATGTACTTTAAATTCTTTTGAAGTTGAATTTGTGATTTTTAAACGAATTATTGTAATTTTTAATGTGCAATTCTTAGTTTCCATAAAGTTGAATTGGAACGCTTGCAGATTTTATAATGTATTTGTAATTTTATTTTTTGTTAAGAGGGGGGGGGGGGGGTATGTATTTGTGAGTTTTTACGGGTTTTTTTTGTTATTTTATAAACTTTTGGGGGGTGCATAATTTTTTAGGGTACTTGGAACCGAAACTGGAAACAGAACGGTTGTTACAGGTACCGGTTCTAGGTACCTAGGAATCGAAACCGTCGGTTTCGATTCCAATTCCAAATTTTAGGAACTGTCGATTCCAATTCTGATTTCAGTTTATTCAAAAAATGCAGGGTACCTGGAATCAATCACCCCTACTCTTTACACACATACTCTTTACACAATAATCGGCCAGCAAACTCATGCCCATTATTGCCTACATTTTTCAGCCAACAACACCTCACAAGGCTTAACAAAACATTCAAATTTCATTCAGCATTTAGCGTAACCCATTTTTATGCTTCTAATCAAGTCCACTTATTAACTAAACCACAACCTTCCAATTTAATCTACACCATTTAGTTCAAACTAAATCAAACACTCCCAATTATAAACAAGTAAACTAGCCCAATAGACCAATCAAATTAACCAATCCATAACATCAATCAAACTCATTACACAATACCCTTAATATCTTTATTCACCAACACCACATTCATTAAAAAAGAAATCATTTAAACGTATTAAGAACACAATTCACGCCACTCGATTTCCAAAAACATATTAATAACACAAATCACCAACATACCTTAACGCCACGAACACTTGCATGTCTATAAATAACTTAAAATGCTCATAAATCAAACACATCATATTATTAAAAGAAGGCCGTATGCATCAACATCCGAATTCGTCCAAATAGAATATGAAGTCTTTGAAAAACATGCAATTTATACAATACTATTCCACTCACCTCCCATTTTGCTAAATTTTCCTAAGGATCTTCCTCTTCTCCTCCTATTGAGCCAACATAGACAAATTAGACTTAGAAATCCTAAAATTGAAGAAATGACAAAGTGAATTAAACATAAATCCACATGCATGTCTTACCCATGGTGAGAAATTGAACTATTTCTCCTTTAAAAGCTCTTGGCCGACATCTTCCTCCCCTTTCCTCTTTTTCTTCTTTTTTACTCTCCTTTTTTTTTCTCGAGATGAGGGGGGATCTCAAGCCCGGCCCGCAGGCATGAGTTGACCCCCCGGTCTTGCCCCGACCTGACCTGGCCAACAAGTAAAAGTATTCTTATATAAGAAATAATAATATCTCATAGAATAAGCTTTTAACATAATATTATACATGAGACTACACAAATAACTGTGTTATTAATGTTGTTCATTCCTTTTTGTATTGATTGTGCTAGTAATTTAAATTTTCAATCAAATCTCATTACTAAATACTTCTCTCCAATCTTTAGTTTAAATCTAAAACTTTGGGTATACAATTTGCACGCCTTTAACTTTATGCACTGGATTGGTATTGTATTTTTAAAAATAAGAAAAACTAGGTTAATATTGTAATGTTATAGACGGAGATAATGACTCTTAAGAATGACTTTGATTGCAGGTTGTTTTCCCGAATTTGGAAATCTTGGTATTGTATGGTATTAATACTGTAGAGATATGGGACAACCAACTTCCGGTACTTATGTCTTAAGGATACCAAAATTTAACACGCTTGATTGTGGGAACTGTGAAAGGCTGAAGTATGTTTTTCCATCTTCTATGATCAAAAGTTTTGAGCAGCTCCAATACCTTAAGATATACAATTGTGAAGTTTTAATGGCCGTTATTGAGAAAGGAGAAGCAGAAACAACTACTGTGTCCGTCTTTCCACGAATAACCATCCTGAAGCTAGAGAAATAACCAGAACTTGAAACTTTTTTTTCTCTGAACAACATACAAGTGAATGGCCAATATTAAAGGAGTTGGAAATTTGTGACTGTAACAAAGTATAGATATTCCCGTCAAAAAATCTGAGCTCCCCTGAAATTAGTGAAGATGGCCAACTCGGTACGTCGAAGCCACCAGCCCTTCTCTTGGCTGAAAGGGTACGAGTCTTGTTTTCTTCTTCTTATTTATTTATTTTTTTCTCATTATTATATTCAATATTTCTGAAAACTGAAAAAGGCTACAAATAAAAAATAATGGCTTTGTTTTAATGCATCTGAAAAGAGTACTTGTACTATCCCCCGAAGAAACCTTTAGGAAAGAACTTGACTTTAAGTTAAGTGCCGCGTAGTCAGCTAGGGAAGATGGAGCTAAAGTAGCCCGGAGAGCTGAAGCTTTGGGAGTCGAAATGACCATAGAGGTGGTAGTAGGAAGAGAGGCCGGGATTGGGGGCAGGGGAATAACATAACATAATAAA